ACACGGCTCCTTGGAGAGATGACCGGCTCTCAGCCTGCGGCAGAAACAGGAGACAAGCATCCGGAGCATCTTGTCACGAGATCGCGGGTCCAAGGGACACTCGTCCATGCCAGAAGGTCAGGAGCCAACCGCAGAGGCTCCCAGTGGCAGACGGGAGTCAACGGGGCCTTCACCAAATATAATAAAAGGCAATTCAGAGAAACACATCAAATATGGGATTTGAAACCCACACACTCAGAGCAGAAAAACAACGTGATCACTGTTTCAAGATGCCGGGGAACCAATTCTGAAAACCGGCAAATGAAGAGAAAGAAGAGAAACAATGACCTGCTTTTCATTTATAAATTATAGACTGGATAACTGAACAGCGTTTACAGGGGCAGTTTTTCTTCAGAGAATCCCTCCAGGTAACAGGTGATCAGAGACGGACAGAACATCAGCGCTCTGCAGCCTCACGGCCCACGGGTTAGGCACCGGGCACCCGCCACCGCTGACCACTGATCGCCACCACTGACCTCCAACAAGAAATAAGCCAACAATACATGTGTCCTTGTAGAAGAACACAACAGTCGGCAAAAAACAGAAAAAACTAAACCTAGATCTGACCAGACCCCTAGACCCAAAGATCCCTTTCCAGTGTCCTTCCACACGGCACACCAGAGACAAGAAGATGTGATCAACCACCACGGGTGTGGCCAGCAGAAGCCAGGCTGGGACCACATCCGTGCAGGGCGGCTGGACGTCCCCTGCAGCAGCAAGAACCTCGTCCTTGCGCAGATGTGGCTTAGCTCTCGACTCTGCATTCCCCGCACACCTCTGGGCTGTCAGCCCCCGGCTGAGCCTGGGGTCGCACCACCCACCAACCCGCAGACCAGGCCACCTGCTGTAATGGCACACAGGCCACACGGAAGGACAGGAGGGAGGGAGAGCCTGCAGATGAGAAAGACAACCAGCGGGCGCCTGGGCAGCTCCCCTGGCTAAGCGTCTGACTTCGGCTCAGGTCATGATCCTGGGGTTGTGGGATCAAGCCCCACGTTGGGCTCCCTGCTCCGCGGGGAGCCTATTTCCCCCTCTGCAGCTTAAGCATTCTAACAAACCAAAATAATCTCCAAAAAAAGAAAGAAGGAAAGAGAGACCATCAGCTGATCGCAGTGTGCAGCCTGTAACCTGACCCCGCTCGAGGAGGTAAACCAGCCCCAAATGAGGAAGTGACGAGGCAGCTAGGAACTTGCACCGCAACTGCGTCCTAGATAATTAAGGAACTCATTTTTTATGACTGATAATGGCATGACAGTATTTTTTTAAAGTCCTTCTCTTTAAGAGATACATTGTGAACTATTCACAAACAGGGTATGTCGGGAATTTCCTTCAAAAACTGCAGGCGGGCGACGAGAACAGGGCCTCGGGGAGCAGCCAGAGGTGGGCACGACCACACCTCTCCCCGAGTCTGTAGATGTCTCACGTTCTCCAAATAAAACATGACAGGTGAGAAGGAAAAACACAGCACAGAAGACACATCGGACTTCACTCACGCGGTGGGTAAACAGCAGCGTCTCTGGAAGATTTCTTCCTTAAACACGTGTGTCTGGCCACCCCCGGAGGCCGAAGCCTCCTCCAGGACCCACACCCCAGCCCAACCAGAGTCTGAACAAGGGCACAGAAGGAACCCCCAGTGGAAGGAGACATTTTTAAAAATTTGAGCCTCATTTTGAGATACTCCCAGTTTTGTGACAGGAGACAAACTGCAGAAGTGTCCCCAGAGTTCACAGATGTCACCTCCGGGCGGCCGGACGGAAAGCTACTTGCTTTCACTTCATACGCCTCTCTCCTCCCCCAAAATGTCGACTATGAGCATGTACAGCTCCTTCTAATCAGACAGGAAATTATATATTTAATTGTGTAAGTAACCTGCTTTTTCTTCTTTGATTCCATTTCTTAACTTCCAACATGAACCAGTACCTTCAAAATCAAAAACCTCTACAAAAGACAGGTATAAAACATTTAAGTTGTTGTTATTTGTTTAGGCTTTCTATCCTCTGAGAACACTGAAACAGGGGTATTAAAGATTTCCTTCCTGAAATACTTGAGGTGTGCATGGCGAGCCTCCTCAGGCAACCCCAACGCCCCAGCAGAAAACCGCCAGGAAGTGGGGGCCGCCTGCCTTCCACGGGGAGGCCCCCAGCACTGTGGTCATGGGACCTTAGCGCTTCCAGCCTGAACTAGTCGGTGTTTCCGTCCCCCACCTTCCCACTTCCGGCAGAGGACAGGAGAGAAAACCACGTGTCATTAAAAAGTTTCCCTTAGGAGTGTGCTGTGTATCTCATACATAGGAGACACAAAAATACGTAAGTCTCATTGGATTCAAGAATTAGAGATGGACCTCACTAACCCTCAAACACATCCTGCTGTGTTCTCCCATGTGGAGTTTGGGGATGGGCTCTCCATCTGAGGCTGTCTGCCCCCCACCTCCCCTCGAGGAGCCCAGGGCTCGTGAGACCCGGTCCGTCCTCCGCCAGAGCGGAGCTGCAGCGAGGAGGCCAGCCAGGCAGGGACAGGCTTGGGGGTGGGGGGGGATGCTGTTCCGAGAAGCAAGGTCAAAGCCCACCGCAGCTGTGAGATTGGGGGAGGAGCAGAGAGAAGCGGACACCCCAAAGAGCAGGGAGCCTGATGCGGCTGGATCCCAGGACCCGGGATCATAACCTCAGCCTAAGGCAGATGACACCAGGGGTCCCTCTGTTCTTTCACTTTTACCTTACTTGTATCTTTGAATCCAAAGTGTGTTTCCTGCGGAAAGCATATAGTAGAACTTAAAAAAAATTCATTCTGGCAATTATGCCCTTTGATTTGGGTTGTTTAATTCATTCAAATTTAATGTTATTTTGATGTGTTTGGATTTGTGTCTGCTGTTCACCTTTTCTGCTTTCTGTGTACCTGAGGCTGAGCTCCCCATGTCCCTGCCCTGCCAGCTTCCGAGGTACTTTCCGCTCCTGCCCCTCCCCCACGGCCAGCGCCAGAACCACTTCTTCCCCAAGTCCCTCCTGGCCGTGTCCTCTCTCCTCTTCTACTCTAAGGGCCTCTGCCGACATCAGGCCCACCCAGGCAGTCCAGGGCAACCCCCGGGGAGGCCTCAGCGCTCATAACCCCTGCAGCCCCCACACCACCTGACATGGCCCCTCACAGGCTCCCAGGTGTGGACGTGTGTGGGCTCCGTTCATCTGCTCGTCCCAGAGAGGCTTCTTGTTAAAGTTCACACTGTGGCCTTATCCCTGGAAATTGGGATTCACCACTTTAACTCAATGCATTCTAATCGACCAGCATTAAAGACCGTCCCTGTGGAAGAATTTACACACAACACTAGGCGTCAAGACAGAACGAGCGAGAACTGTGGCGCCAAAGGGCCGTGGGAAGAGGCCCCACTCCCCGCTCCCGAGGTCTGCCCCTGCCCTCAGCCACACCTGTGCCTCTGGCCTCCTGCGGTGACTCCAGGAAGCAAGACCGCAGGTGTGGGCAGCCAACGGCCTGTCTCTCAGGCAGGGCACAGAAGGGTGACTCTCGGACCGCTCCGGGGCCTGGAGGCCGCGCCCCGCTCAGTGTGTGGCACCCTACTCAGCACAGCCTCACACTATTTCCAACAAGATCATGAAACCTGGTCTCACGTTTCAGAGTGAGGCATAGGAACACTGAGCAACTGTGGGCCCCAAGCGTCTTCTTCTGCCTTTCGTCCTTCCCTGGGGGAGCGGAAACTGACCGCTCTACTGACCACTGACCAACCCCCACCCTCCCCCCACAGGGGTGGGCGCAGACCCCGGGCCACACTGAAGGCGAGGTTTGCAGATCGGTGGCGGGGGGCGGGGTGTGCAGAACCCGGGCCAGCCCCTCACCCGCTAAGGGCCAGGTGGCCGGAGAAGCCCTGCTCTTAGGCAGGACCTGCCGTACAACGAGCACAGCCTCAGCTGTGAACAGTGAGAGCCGAGAGCAGATTGCAGAGAAGTTAATGGGGGAGAGAGAACAAAGCCACAGCAGAAGCAGACCGTGGGGCCACTTGAGTAACACGAACCGGTCCGGGCCGCCCATCAGCGCCGGAGGCGACCTATTTAAAGACTGAAACTGGCAAACCTTAATCTCTAAAAACAGAAGCTACCGGGGGGAGGATCTGCTCCGATGGAGATGAAGTAACCATCAGGACAAACACAGGAGCAGGACCTCAAGTCCCCAGGAGCCAAACACAGTCCCGCAAAAACACTTCGCTAAGCAACAGCTGAGATGAAACACACGCTTCAGAGTCAAATGAGAGCTGTGTTCCGTCTAGTAACTGGAAGAAAACCAGAAGTAAAGCATTGACAACGCTCCCGTATGTTCACACACAGAACATCAGCCCAGAAGGAGCTTTTTCAAAGGAAAAGGCAAAAACAAGAAGTATTTTCTATTTTCTGAGCCACAAAGTCACGAAGCAGCGTGGGCTGAGCGTGTAATTCATCCTGCCTGACGCGCAGACCCCACGGGCCCACTCCAGGTGACCCCCCCACCGGCCCCGCAGGAGCAGGACGTCGGGTGAATGGTTACCAGGCACGAGAGGAAGCTCCCAGTGTTAGCAACAAGCCGCAGCTACACGGTCACCGAACGGGCATGTGGGAGGCGTCGGCCCCACACGGAGAGAAAACTTCCGTTGGGCAAATCCCCCTCTGAACCGACCGTGCCAGAGAAGATACCGAAATGTATGTCCTACCCCAATCAGAACCCTCAGGTAAACAGCCATGGTGCAGAGGAACACGTCAAGATTACTTCGTAACTTGCCCACCTTCCAGGGAAGAAACGACCCCGTGTTAAGGGAACATGCAGCACATGGGAAACAGGGACGTCAGGCACTCGTTGCCGTGCCCTGCGTGAACTGAGCACGGCTCCGGCAACACGGAGCGCCCCTGCCTCTCCCACGCACACAGGGTGAATTCTGCTTGTTGACCGAGTGCTTTGTTCCCAAAGCTGCAGATCAGATCACCAACCTGCAAAGAAACGGCGTTTTACGTTCAGCTCGTTTGTGACGCGGACTTCGGTGCAGAGCTTCAACATCAGTAACATGGTCAAGATCATGACTGCACTCTGCCAGAGAAGCGGCGACTCAAAGTGCCGTCCAAACCTGGGGAGGGAAAGAGACCACGGCGTCAGGAGGGCCCTGGGGCACCAAGGGCCTCACCGCCTCTCCCTGCCCGGGCCCCTGCCATGGCCCCCATGGCCACCTCCCGAGCAGCCCCAGAAGGACTCGCACATGCGTCACAGCTGCGGGCCCGAGCACCTGGGCCTCCAGGCTCCGTGGGGAGACACAGCAGGGTGGGCAGGGGCTAGGAGCACTCGGGGATGGCAGGACCAGGGACCACAATGGCCCCTCTGCAGGGGCACCTCTCAGAACGATGGGCAGGGCTGCCACGCTCCCCTCCCTGGGACCCGCAATGAGGGTGGGATGGGCCTCCCAGGTTCCCTCACCACACAGCCAGACGTCCCTCGGACAGAGGCCCCAGCCACTCACGAAACCCAATTTCTAGAACACCTGATTCCCTGGGAAGACTCACACCAGAATCCAGGAATGACAGGAAGTCCTGCCTCCCGCCTGGGCTGAGTGGGGTCAGTAGGCCAGAGCAGTGGCGGGCCAGGGAACCCCCCCATCCCTCCCACCAGAGAAGAGGAGGAGGCAGCTGAGGGCACAACCTCCCACTCCTAACCTGAGGCCCTGACTCCCCCCATCCAGGCCTCGCTGCCTGCTGTCCCTCTCCCTCCCTGCCCAGGCCTCGCTGCCCACTCCCCTCTAACCCGCCAGCCTGCCCGGGTCTCATGCCCTCCCTGCCGATGTCTTCCTGGTGGTGAAGTGTCACCAACTGAGCCATAAGCTCCTGGAGGTGAGACCCTCGATCTAGTGACCAGCGCGAGCTGGGCCCGTCAGCAGACCCCAAACCCCAGGGGCGGAGAACAGCAGCGCCGCCCTCCGTGCACCAGCTAGGGGGTCTCTGCCGTGGCCACGAGGATCAGTGTTGACCCAGGCCCATCTCTAAGGCCAGGCCTGGACAGGGCACCCCTTGAAGCCCCAACCCCAATTCTAGCCCAGCTATTGCGGAGCAGGAATCCCATAGGTCTGGCTGCAACACGGCCTGAGGGCGGCTCCAAAACTGAGCTGCTGTCAAGCTCTGAGTCAAGAGACCCTGCACGGCAGCCTGACTTCCCAGCTGGTCGTGAAAAGATGCGGAGAGAACCACCCGCCCCCTCCCCACTGCCCTCTCCCTCACTCTGGCCTGAGCCAACAACGTGCGCCCCGCAGAGAGGGACGGTCACCGAGAGCTGACCACTGAAGCCTGGCAGGGGCGCCCCCATGACACAGAGCTGGGTCAGAGCTCCCGGCAGGGCACGGGCCGGGGCTCCCCCACACCGCCAACATCAAACCAATGAGAAATCAAGACAAAAACTCAGCTCTGGGCTTGTTGTGAAGGTCAAGATTAGCTCTCCTGGCCGAGGAGCACACCTTTGCCTACACAGCAAGAACATCTCCCTACACGGTCGAGAAAACATGACGCTTCTTCGCACAGAGATGCTGACTCTGGCCCCGCTCCAGCGCGAGTCAGTTTCTCCAAGACCGAGTCTGGGGCACGCGCCGCCCTGCCGGCGTCCTAGCCAACTCGCACACCTCTCCGGAGGGGATGCCTCTGCCCAGGGTCTGCCCTGCCAGCGCGAGTTGGCCCAGCAGCAGAGAGCAGGCCACCAGCCCGCAGGAGGTCCAGCCACCAGGAATAGCCAGATAGTCCCTGGGAAGCGGGGAACCACGACACCAGTTCCAGCACCGGCATTCTGCACGGGTTCTGAGGTTAAGGCCTGGCCTGTGTCCTCGGAGCAAAGGACAGAGCAGTCTGGGGTCACAAAGCCTCAGGCCCGCACTCCTTGGGCCCCAGAGGAACCAGGACACAGATAGGACAACTCCATCACCACGAGATTACTCCTGCCTCCCCAGGAAATGTCACCTGGGCTCACTGGGGATCCTGCTGCTTCGTGTGGACCCCTCCTTCAGGAGAGGAGCTGAAATGCTAAATGGTCAGAGCAAGAAAGGGCCATTGTGCCCTGGAGCTTTCGAAGCCAGTGGCACAGACCGGGGGAGCCCACAGACTCCACCCTAGGCTGGTTCCACAGCCCTTGCGGCTGGACCCACCGCCTCTGGGCCTTGCCTCTTCCGTAAAGGGCAGCTATTACCCCAAAGGCCATTAAGGACACTTCTAGTCCTTTCTAGGAGCTGGATCCCACTGGTTACCCAGCTGACCCCAGGGGTCAACTCCTCTAAGGTGAAGGTCAGACAAGGGGACAGCAAAAGTTCAGTGTCAGCCTAAGGAGACAGGAAGTGCTTCCTGAGCAGGTGGGAAGGACCCCAGTAAAGCAGGGTATTCTGGGGCTCCTCACACCAAGCTAACTGCCAGTTATGAGGCTGAAGATGTGCAATTTTGGCCATTATGTGAGAAAGGCCACTTTTTTTTAAATTCTCAACAGAAACAACGACTAGAAAAACTGTGGGCAAAGAAATCAAGGTTTGCACTTCCCCTTAAACCCTACACCAAAAACTGAATCCAGATGATCTCAGTATTTACAATAAAAACAAGACCATCTAAAGCAAAGTAAGAGGGCACAGAGGTGAATATTTAACTGATTTTGGAAAGACAGGCTAAACAAGATACAAATTTCAAAAAGCACAACTTTCGACAAGCAATATACAAAAGACAAAGTAAATATGAAATGAGGATCAATGTCATTAGTAACTTTTAGAGACTAATTAAAATAGAAAGATAACATTTTTTACTTATCAAATTGGTTAAGCTTTTTCTTCCTTTAAAGCTAAGAACTAAAGTGACAGAGATGTCAGCACTTTGTCCTCTCCGGCCTGAGAATGTGTGTTGGCACGACTTCTCCTGAGGGCAGATGATAGGAGAGCCCACCCGACGAGCGCAGGGCGTGCTGCTCAGATAAGCCAGTCTGAAGGGTTTGTCTTTCCCCCTAGGAAGACACACACTTCAGGAGAGGCGATGTTTCACCAAGTCTGAGCAAAAGTTTCTACACGGGACACCTTCTCATGTCTTCCAAGTAACAGAAAAGCTCCAGTAGAAAGAAGCTATCTCCTTCCCTGTGTCACACTGACTGCTACACCCTTAGCTGTTACCGTGTGCCCAACAGGGCCACATCTCTGATACAATGTGAGCAGGATGCACACTGCATCTGATACGATGTTACCGTGTGTAATACAGTCTTACTACATGCCGGACAGGGTGTCGCCCCTCTAGTGTTCCCTTATTCCTGATACAATGTCACCGCATCTCTGATACAATGTTATTAAACATCTAACACATTACTGTCCCTGTTAGTGTTTCCACCCAATTAGAATGGAGCTTGAGAACCAGCTCTGTGAACGGAGAAGGCTAGGGCTGGAAGGTCCTGCGATACCAGCCCAGCACCCCGGCCTCCTGCACCTCATTCTGCCCTTCTCTACAAAATCACAAGTCTGCAAACATCAGTCATGAGGCATCATTTAGCCCTTCGCCTGGTTTCTCCTGACGCCACTCTTCTGAGTCAAAATACTATCTGTAAGCATTTCATAGAATATAACCTGCTGAATGCTAGTTTTGCGAAAGGATGATAAGAACTGTAAGAAATAAAGGTGCTAGAGGGGGCACCTGGGTGGCTCAGTCTGTTAAGCATCTGCCTTTGGCTCAGGTCATGATCTCGGGGTCCTGGGATTTAGTCCCACATCAGAGGGGGAACTCAGCTTGGAGGGAGTCTGCTTCTCTCTCCCCCTCCGCACTCATGCTCTCTCTCAAATTCTTAAAAAGAAAAAAAAAGTTTTAAAATTAAAAAAAGAAAGAAAGAAAGAAAGAAAGAAAGAAAGGCACTAGAGTTCCACAAGTTTTAGAAAACCCATGTTGGGGTATGTGAGTGGCTCAGTGGGTTAAGCCTCTGCCTTCGGCTCAGGTCATGATCTCAGGGTCCTGGGATCGAGCCCCACATCAGGCTCTCTGCTCAGCGGGGAGCCTGCTTCCCTCTCTGTCTCTGCCTGCCTCTCTGCCTGCTTGTGATCTCTCTCTCTCTCTCACTGTCAAATAAATAAATAAAATCTTTTAAAAAATAAGTTAAAAAAAAAAGAAAAAAAAGAAAACCCAGGGTTTACCCAACTCAGTTCCCCTCTGCCGCACAACTGCGAGCCACTCACAACCCTCATACCACAAATCCGCAGGGGTCTTCAAAGACCAGAGTTCCGAGGACTGTGGTCTCAGCCGGCTTTGGGAAACACACTCTTCAGTTCTAAGTCCAGCCCTGGTCTAGTATAGACACAGCTTCCGTCTCACCTGGAGCCTGCCACAACCCATGTTGTGTACAAGGTACGCCCCACACAGCACTTCTGCTAACATGCAAACCCCATGGCATCTGGACCAGGGTCTGGAACGCAGGAAACCCTCCAACACCCGCTAACCCACGGGCTGCTGCTAACCCGTAAAGGCTGGAGGACCCAAGAGTGGGGGCTTCAGAGGCTCCAGAGAAGAAATAAAAGGGAGGATGTGCACCCCTCTCCGAGGAGTAGGGCCTAGGACTTGGTGGGCAGAGAAGCCCACATGACTCCAAGTCCTGGACAGAGCTCAGCCCGTCTGCCGGGCTTCACTGTGACCGCAAGGACTGTCCTGCGTGAAATGCAGGAAAAGCACACCCCTGGGCCAGAGACACTCTGGAGGAGGGACCAGTGTCCTTGGCCAGCCCTCCTTCCACCCCACACACTGCTGCAGTCTCCTGGAATGTGGGCTGAGGGCAGTCCTGTGTGTTCACATGTCGCCACAGAACCACTCCGGTGACCCGGGGCAGCACAGGGTGCTGACTCTGGGAAAGGACCAGTTGGATGGATAGAAATAGACTTGCCAGTGGATGAAGTTTAGAAGCCCACAGTTGAGAAGCCCAGTGCCCCATTAGGAGAGCTCCAGACTCTGCTTCCCAAAGTCTCAGGCCCTGGAGTGGGGACAGGACTCCCAGCCCACATGTCTGTTAAACCCAAAAGCCCTGAGACTCGGCATTCAAGAAATTAGTGTAATTGCTGACTTCTCCAAACCAGGTATTTGGATGTACATTAGCTATTCTATCCTCTTTTTGCGACTGTGAAGGAGAAGCACACTAGGAAGAGATCTCCTGACTGATCTTTTTCCCCCACAAGGCAAGCCGATGCCAGGCACCCCCCCACCCCCCGTGCAAGAGAAAACTTGTTCCACAACCTCAGCCTGGGAGACCCCTGAATGACCCTCCAGTGCACTCGGGATTAACAATGGTGTCAGACACAATTATATTTCAGGAACTGCTTCTGTTCAACCTCAGACTTGATTAAAGCCATTTTATTTTTTTTTAAGATTTTATTTATTTATTTGACAGAGATCGCGGAGCCACCAAGGCGCCCCCTAAAGCCATTTTAGAAAAAGCCACACGTCACTGTAAGGCGAGTGATCTCTGCCCCCAGCCGGAGGGAAAGGAGGAATCTTCAAAATGTGCGTTTTCAACTTGTGCCAAAGAAAGAAATAAGCACCCATGAGCCCTCCTTCCAAAGTAGCCTCCTAACCCAGAGACACACCTGGGGATGTGACAAATTCTCCCTGGAGGGGCTGACTTACTGGCTCACCTTTTAAAAGCCCCAGACAAGGGCAAAACTAACACACAGTGAAAATAAATCAAAGGTAGCCTGGGGCCTGGCACCACTGGATGGCCCCATCCTGGATGGAACACAGAGGAGAGAGCAAACCTCTGGGCTCAGAAAACTCCTATCTGGGTTGTGATGATGATGGGAAGGGGACATTGTCAAAACTCGTCAAACTGTGAACTTATGATGGGCAGTTTTATTTAATGTAAATCATACCTCCGTAAAGTTGACTTAAAAATGAATTAGCAGGGGGCACCTGGGTGGCTCAGTCAGTTAAGCAGCTGCCTTCAGCTCGGGTCATGATCCCAGGGTCCTGGGACTGAGCCCCACGTCAGGCTCCCTGCTCAGCTGAGAGCCTGCTTCCCCCTCTCCCTCTGGGGTCCTCTCTGCCTACTTGTGTTCTATCTGTCTGTCAAATAAATAAAATCTTAAATAAAAAAAAAAAAAAGAATTAGCAAACAATGTGGTTAGTCCATTACCAAAAAGCCAACAGGAGGAGCCAGAAGCAGAGCTCCGGACGCCAGTTGCCTGGAACCCTTGTCCCACCTCTGCACTCAGCTGTCCTCCTCCTGAGCAGGCTGAGCAACCTGTCTCACTATATGTGTGGACAGTCAAGAAGAAAGTTCCAGACCTCTTCCATCTTAGAATGGGGCTGTAATGGGGCACCTGGCTAGCTCTGTCTGTTAAGCACCTGACCCCACTCAGGTCATGAGATCAAGCCCTGTATCCGGCTCTGCGCCGGTCACACAGTCTGCTCAATATTCTCCTGTCCCTCTGCCTCTTCTCCAACTGCCACCTCTTCCTCTTTTTAAAGAAAAAAAAAAGGCGGTCATAAGACACCATTTCATTTCCTCTAAAAATGCCCCCTCCCAGACATGCGGTGCTTTAGCAACTATTAAAATTAACTTCAGACTTCCTCACCAGAATGCAAACGATAGTAAGAGCAAGCGGCACTGGGACTGGCAAGGAAAACACAGTCTCTTAAGTAGTACCCAGAAAATTGCCTTTCCTATCAGAATGGAACAAAACTGTACACACAACAGACAAGGCTGAGGGGACGGCCCTCCGCGCACCCAGCCCCTGAGCTCTTTCCTGCCGGGCTCTGATGTCCCCTCCTGAGGGGCTCCGTGGTCAGTGGTATGCCCTTCCCACAGCTTGTCACTTTTGGTTAGTCTTAATTTCTTCTTCATTCCCTCTTTCGTCTCTCCTGCCCCCATGCAATCCTGAGGGAAGGAACCGAGTTCAAGGACCTCGCCCAGCACCCAGTCGTCTTTGGGAAAATCTCTCCCCAGGTATGAGTGCCATGAAATGAAGACCAAGGCTGAGAGTCTCCACTCCAGTCCCCCATTTTTCCTGGGAAATGATCGCATGCAACCGGCCAGCTCCTGCCACCACCCCCACCCCACTCCGGAACCCCCAAAAGAGAAAGCCATCTCCCTGGAAGCACCCCCATAGGAAGCCCCCAACTTACCAGAAGAGGATCCGTAAAATATTAGCCACCAGGAGCACCAGACACACGTAGGTAGAGAAGCCCTCAGCGTTCTGAGTCCTCCGGATGTCCCTGTACTGGGGGATATAAGGCACGACCCCTCCGAAGACCATGGCCCCGGCTGCCCCCCAGGAAACCAGCTGGTGCAAGGGGACCAAAAGCCAGTCCAAGCCTTCCGCTTCCATCCCGAAAACCTGCGTCGCCCTGCCCGCCGACGGACGTCCACCTGGCCCAGGTCCCCGCTGCTCTCACGGGCTCCCGGATCGCGCGCTGCCGGTCACCCCCACATCGCGGCTGCTGCCCGGCGACCCTCCGCCACCGGGGCCTGGCGGGAGAGAAGAGCTGAGAACTCCGAGCCAGGGCACCGCGGGGACTCACGGCCGGGGCACCCCCCGCCGACACCGGAGCCCCCGCGAGCCCTCCGCGCGCGAGCCAACCCCGCGAGGGGACAGAAGCGCCGGGCGCACGGCGGGGCCCGCGGGTCTGCGAGGGGGGCGGCTCGGCGGGGGCGGGGCGGAGCGCGCTCAGGCCGGGGCGAGCGCGCTCGGAGGGAGGGAGGCCGGCGGCTCGGCGGCGGGACGCCCGGCCGGGCGGGGGCGGGGGACGCGCGCACGGTCCGAGGGGCTCCGTCCCGCGACCCGCCGCCCGCGCCGATCCCCGAGCTGCGACCCCGGGGCGGGCGGCCCTCGCGCTGCGTCCGCGTCCACACGCGGCCTGCGGACCCGGATCCCGATCCTCACCCGCGGCGGCCGCGCCCGCGCCGGCCCCGCCCGGTCTGTCCTGCGTCCTCCGTCCGTCTGTCCGTCCCAGCGCCGCAGCCCCGCCTCCGCGTGACGTCACAATGCAGGAGCCCCGCCCGCCCGGGCGCCGGGCCAAGCGGCGCTGGGTCCTAGAGCGCACCGCACAGCCGGGGACGGGTCGGACGTCGGGGGCGCGGGGGCGACGTTGCTCCGCCCGCACGCCCGGGCTGGGGTCAGGAAGCACCTCCCCGGCGAGGCCGCGCCTCCGGAGCCCGGGACCCACGTGGGCGCGTCCGACCTGCGCCGGGGCAAGGGGCCCTGTGGACGCGGCGCGCCCCCGAGAGCGGAGGACCCGCGCCTGCCTCTGGAGGAGGTCTGCGCGAGGCCCGGAGCCCTCCTCCCCTGGGGATCCCCTCTCGTGGGGACGGGGGCAGCGTCTGCGCCCCGCAGGTCGTGCCTGAGCGCCCCCAGGGGACCCCCGCGGTCCTTCCGCGGCCGCGTATTCTGACGCCAGTGTCAGGCTCCCCTTCCCGAGGGGCAGGCCGAGCCCGAGCAGCAGGTGTCAGAGGCTAACCTGGTCTCCGGTGAGGCTGAGGGGGCGGCCCTTCTGGGAAACCAGGCCCAAGATGTCACTTAGGGCGGGAGCCGGGGCTGCCTGCCGCAGAGTGTCTCCACGCTGTAACTTGCTAAGTGCTCCGGGCTTCATCTGAGGCACACAGTTCCGGGAGGTGAACTCACAGGGTGTCCGCTGACATAAAGAAACAAGAATTCCAGAGTTCCCTGACCAAGGGGAGCCCTGGGGGCCTCAGGAAGGTGCTCCAGACAAAGATGCTGGTGGGCTGGGCGTGCGTGAAGCCCACGGCCAGGTGGGATGGAGGGGCACTGGGGACACTTGTGAGAAGCCAGCCGGCCCCCTGTGCCCAGCACCCTTACAGTTGGGACTCAGCGTGGAGAAGACCAACTGCAGGGCCCCAGGACTCTGTCCACAGAGCAGCTCCCCTCACGCTCCTATCTCCACAACGGCAGACCTGAAACACCCCAAAAGGGAATGTGGTCCTGGGGCCACACACCTGGCTGGCCAGCTTCCCACTCCAAGGTGTGGCCTGCCCTCCTTCCTACCAGGCAGGTCTCAGAGAAATCATGGAATAGCTCCAACCTCCCTGAGACTAAGGCCCAGACAAGTCTGGTGCACTGAGCAGGAAAAACACAGGCTCGTTCTCAATCCCCTCCCATCCCCGAGGCTGATGTTAGGGATCTCTGAGTCGAGGCTACTCAGAGTATCCCCAGGAAACAAACATCAGGAATGTGTAGAGGGAGAAAAACACAACCACAACCACGGACAAGGCTGCTGTGGCAGGGCAAGGAGGGAAAAGTGGGTGTTCCCACCCAGCCCCCTCTCCCCGAGCTCCAGGGGCCCTGGAGGCTTCACTCTGTCCTGGGGGTTGGAGTGAAGCTTCCTCCTGACTCTCACTGGAGCATCTGGAGTCACAGCTGCTGATCCTGTTCATCCGGGCGTACTCGGGCCAATCGTCGCCATCGTGGCTGTTTCGGAGCCATCAGGGCTATCGGGAAGCGTCCACACCAGACCGTATCTACAGAGTCCAGCTACGTGGGTACAGTCTGGCGTCCTTGGTCCAGGACTGCACCCCACAAAGTTCTCCAGTAAGGCCAGCTGATGACTGGAGAGTTCACTGTTAAGTCCTTTTAAACACCAACCATCTGGGTCCCGAGGTGTACTCGCCGGCCTAGAACCATCCGTCAGTCAAGCAGAACGGAGGACAGCTCATCCGACATGCTGCCTCGTCCCGTGGCTTCCTGTAGTCCCAAACAGAAGGAGCCAGCCAGGCTGTGCTGGGACGGAAAATAGCCCCCAGACGTATCATCCTCACCCCCAGGACCTGGCAATGTTACCTTATTAAAAAAAAAAAAAATGCAGGGCCCCTGACTGATTCGGTCAGTGGAACGAGCGACCCCTGCTCTGAGGCTGTGCGTTCGAGCCCCACGTGGAGTGTAGAGGTTACTTAAAAATAAAATCTTCTAAGATAAATAAAAATAAAATATTTTTGAAAATGCAGGTGTGATTAAGTTCAGAGTCTTGCTCTAGGGAAATGGTCCAGGATTATCCGGCTGGGCCCTGTGTAGAGACGGAAGGAAGGAAGGAAGGCAGAAGGAAGGAAACTTGACACACGGAGGAGACTGTGTGAAGACGGAGCAGAGATGTGGAAAAGTGGCCCTGAAGACTGGATTGGCCCAAGATGGTGGGAGTTGTGCCCAGAGAGGCAGGACCACCCTGTCACTGCTGCTGGGGAAGACCACGCCACTAGGCTCTTCCCCCACGTGGGAGGGTGCCACCAAAAGCCACCAACTCCTCCAGGAGCCCTGTCAGAAGCTGCCTAACCAATGGCATTTCTAAAATGAAATGTAAACCAAGGTGACCTTGGTCCTAGGAGTTGGGACATTTTGGGCCGACCCCAGGTGGCTGTCACCTCATCTCAGGAAGCTGCAAGGAGACTGGACAGAGGCTTCACTCTGGAACTTGGGTGGCAAAGTGCAGGAATACTGGACTTCCAGAGTCTGCTCCAAAGCCCGCAGTGGTCGTCCCTGCTGACCCTCCCCCACAGCCCCCCCCCCCCTGCCACCAGAGGCTTTCTTCACGGGTCCAGCCACGGCCTCCGCTCGTGAAGTGGGTGTGACAAACGGGTATTTCTGTGCCTTCTGAGCTCACGCGTTCCCTCGGGCAGGCTGACCCGCTGCGGCCCAGGCTAGGCCCCGCCGGCCCCCAGTCCCACAACCCCCATCTTGGAGCAGCCAAATGGCTGAGCACCAGCCAGTGAAGGCTGACGGGCTCGACGTCTGCCACTTCGGGCGCGTCTCCCTGGGTCTCCTCCGGCCCTTCGTGCTCACTGTCACCCGCTGGCCCGTGCAGACCGGGCAGTGGAGAATCCACCGGGACGTGGCCTGGCGCGTGGTCCCCGGCTGGGTGGTCCCGGAGGCTAGACGGGCAGCACAGGGCGGAGTCGCCATGGCAGCCCAGCAGTGTCAGGCCCCGACATCCACGAGAATGTCACTGGGCTCAGCCGCCGGAATGGGTTTGTTCCTTACAGACGAGCGTTTTTCCTGTGACGCACAGTCCGGTTCTGAAACTCCCACCACCTCCCCACCTCCCCGATGGCCTTTAACCACACTCAGACACACTGCACACGGCCCCAGACTACGGGCCCCAACAAACCCAGTGCAGCCCACTTCTGCTCTTTCCAACCCATACACCGGTGTTGTTCCCAGTAGAGGAGGCTCCGTGAGCCCTCCGGGACTCCCACGCAGCCACACGCAAACCAAACCCAGAGCAGACATCAAGGACACCTTTCGTTAACGCTCCATATAGATTCCCTGAAAACACAGCAGCTCCACGGTCAGTTCCATCAATGATGGTTCTTAGGATGAAGACCGCCTGTGGGGACAGCAAACCCGAGCTCCAGCACCGGGACCCACAGCACACCCCACGACCCCCGCCCTGAGGAACAGAGATCTGTCCTTGCGGGCCTTTCTCTGGCCTCTTCTGGACACAGGAAAGGCCCCGGAGGTGTCGTCAGAGGTCACAGATATTCCCGCCCTTCTCAGCCCTCCTCCTGCCTTTGAGAGCCTGGAGTGTGGGGGTCCCTGCTCAGATCACTGCAGCCCTGCGCAGGAACACTGTTAGCACTTCAGATTTTGAGTGACAAATCACAAAAACAGATGGAGGACATATTCAGAGGAACAGGAAAGAAGGGGGTGGACCTACAGTGCTCCTGTCTAGCTCCTGCCCCAGCAGCAGCATGGATTTTCCCCTTGAGAAGGAGCTGTGGGGGGTGGGGGGGCGGCTAACCTGGTCCAGGCAGAGCCCCCAGCCCCGACAAGGATTGCCCCTCCCCCAAAAGCACTGTAAACAGAAAGGCAAGTTGTCCTGCAGTAAGATCCAGAGGGAGCAGAGACGGAGCGGCGGAGCCGGTGGGCGGCCACCGCCTGGCGGTGTAGACGAGGGTCCGGCATGAGTCAAGGCAAGCGGGACGCTGAGGCACAGGTGGAGGGAGAGCCCGGAGAGCGTGGGCCCTGGGGCCCCCAGACTGCAAAAATGAAACCCCTGACTCGCAGCAGGGGGCAGAGTGGACAGGCTGGTGCTGAGAACATTCCGGAACTACTGAAATTCCCATCCGTCGGGGGCATCTGGGCGGCGCCATCCACGGAGCATCCGACTCTTGGTGCCGGCTCCAGGGGTGACGTCAGCATCCTGAGACGGAGCCCCACAACAGGCTCCACACTCGGCTGGGAGTCTGCTTGTCCCTCTCCCTCTGACCCTCCTCCACTAGCCTGTGCGTGTGTACTCTCTAAAATAAATAAATAATAAAATTTAGATAAATAAATAAGATCTTTATTAAAAAGCTCCATCAGCCAACCAAGAGAAAAGAGAAAACAACTGTAGGGGGCACCCAGGGCTCAGTCAGTGAAGCGTCTGCCTTCGGCTCAGGTCATGGCCCAGGAGTCCTGGGATCGAGTCCTACCTTGGGCTCCCTGCTCAGCGGGAAGCCTGCTTCTCCCTCGGCCTCTGGGCTCGTCCCCTCTCTCTCAAATAAATAAAATCTTAAACAGGGAGAGAGAGAGAAAGAAAACAACAGCACAAAACACTACCTGCGTGAATCCTATTTCCGAAGCCTCCAGAAGCCTGACTGGGGAAAGGAGAGGGGCGGCGCTCTCGTGATGCTGCCCAGGGATCAGGCAGGA